CGGGAATGCAACGACCAAAGAGAAGCTCCTCGTGTATGGGTTGGCCTTCCTGTTGGATTACACGAAAACCAGCTGTTTGCCGCTGCTCGCAGCAATGCTCGCTGGCGGCAGTTCCAGACAACGAGCTGGCGGGCAGCGGCTCGCAAACGGGCCAGCACTTCCCATGCCCTGGCCGCGGCGGGTTTTCGCAAGAAGGCCACCGCCTCCGCGCCGAAGCGTCCGCCCGCTTCCACGCCCACCATGACGAGATTGCACCGACAAGCCGCCACTTCCGGGCATGTGTCCCGCCAATTTTTTTTCCACGGCTCTTTTGCGCCTGCATGAACGAATCTGGTCGGCACCGGCTCTCGTCCGTCACCTGAGGGTCGAGTCCACCCGCCCTTGCCTTGGGCACACAATGAGAAGGAAGATTTCTTGGAACACAAGGAACGGAGGACGCCTAAAGACATCGACGAAGGTGGGAAGCCCTACCCACCTCCTGAGCATTTGCTTTGTCCACTGGGACTTGGTGAGCAGGGCAAGGATGCAAAGCACAAGCTTGTGCAATTTGTCTGGGGGCAAACATGTGGTGCCTCTGTCTCCGTCAAGGTGGCCCCCCTGTATCCCTGCCTGCAAACTTCCCGCAAGCGCCTTGCCTGCGTTGACGGGATGGCCACAGGCCTTCCCCGCAAGCAGTGACGCCAACTTTCGATTGACATGGCGAATCTGGTCGAAAGAGTCGAGGTAAAGAAGTGACTTTTTCCTCTCTGGGATCGGGCGGTCCTTGCGCGTCTCGCTTTCATAGGAAATGCTTGCATTGACGAAACACGAGATTCCTAAGTGCTGCCTGCAGCACTCGTCCACCCTGAGTGCGGGCCTGACCTTGACCCCAGTGCCCCCACCCCGGCCCCTTTTTCGTGATGCAAGGTAAGGGCACCATGCTGGGGCCACAGTGAAAAGCTTGAAAGCCGAGGTAAGGTCTTCACTCTCTATGAGCACCTGGTCCTCCTCTTCCAGGGATAGGGGGGAGAGCTGGACAACATATGGGAGGCTGCGCTGGTCACCTGGTGGCTGGTGAGAGAAGTCATTGATGGGGATGCGGTTGATCATGAAAGGCTGTACCTCAGCCTCCTCCCCATTCCTGACCTTCTTTTTTGGTTCACGATGAGATGACCCACGTCTCGAGGAATCTTGTCGTCGCTCACCTCCGTCATCATGCCCTTTTCCCAGGCTGCCCTCACAATGTGGCTCCAATCATCTTGGGTGGCATGCACCACCCCTGTCTTGGACTTGAGGGGCGTTCCGCCGGGCCTTTGAAGGTAGAGGCTGGGGTTCCGCATGGCCTCCCTGGCGTCGCCTTGAAAGAAGTCGACGACGAAGGACTTGGCTGTCAGGACCCGCTCGGCTTCCACAGAGCCCCCAAATTCTGTCTCATCTCGGAGTCAAGAAGGAAGCCATCTCTCGGCTCCCCGTGCTGGGCGCGCGCCCGGAGGGGCTGCTCAGGAGTCAAAAGCCGACATGAAGCGTCCAAAAAAAGTGGGGAGCTTGTGACCCACATCCACCATCCAGCAAAAGGCCAGCCTGAAGGTCGGCTTTGAGAAGAGGAGGCCGCACATGAGGGAAGCCATTGCTGCGCATGGTTTTTGCCTCATGCGCTGATCAACTCCTGACGTCTTGCCCTTTTTGCTCGCTTTCCCCTTGCAAGGAGTCGTAGGCCCCCAAGTCGGGGTGGTGCAAAGCACCGGGCTTGAAGAGGCCAACGTCCTCTTCTTCCTCGGGCTCTCGGCCAACCTCCCCCTCCTCCTCCGTGGAGCGGTCTTTCACAGGCAAGCCATAGTTTGCCTCCGGCTGTGGCCGAGGAAGTGCCCCCAGAACCGGCTGCGGCCGATGACATGGATTCCTTCAGGGTCGAAACAATTGGTTTCGAGGTAGGAGCCCTGGTGCAGCCACAAGGAGGAGCCCTGGCGCAACCCCAAATAGGCGACACCACCACATCCACCCATGGTCCCAGCATCCTACCGGATCAAGGGCCGCCTGAGCTCCTGGAGTACAAAGAGACGCCTAAAGTTCACGGGTTGCAGCTCACATGCGTCGCGCCTGGCTGCGTCTTAGCCAAAACCCCAAACCACACTGGGTGCGCCATTACAGGTTTTCCAGAACGCACCAGGCCGGAGTCGCGGTACATACGCGCCAAAGTCAAAATACATTTTTTGTTCCTCACGTTCCTGCGAAAAGGGATATTTGGCCTTATTCGCTTCAACATTGCGCTCTCGTTCAAGGCATCCTCAAAAAATCGGCGTTCTATGTTGATTTTTGATCAAAAATAGGGGACACTTCGCTTTTAAAGTAATGTTGCTAAAAGGGTCCGTAACCGAACCGGTCGCGCCCCTGATTGAAACAAAATGGCGCTACCGTGCGAGACATCCTCGCAAATTTCAAGCTTAGCTTGCCTAAGAATTATTACTTGAAAAAATCGCTCCCGCTCGGGACAATTCGATTCTCCTGCGTGTTGGATCATCCAATCGCGCTCCCGTGCGGAGCATCCTCGAAATTTCGTTGATTTTTCTTCATCCAATTCGATCAAAATGGCGCTCCCGTACGGAGCATTCGGCAAATTTGAATCATTTATGAACGATGATGTCGAAGAGATCCTTACCAATTTTATATCAAATCAGTCCCGGTGTACTTCGTTCGAGCTGGTTTTCTGGGCTCAAAGGGGCGATGTTTGGCGGAGGTTTCCGGACAGGATTGGTATAAGATACGTCGGCATCGCCGTTGAAAATCTGAACGGCTACTGGATGGGCCCTACACCAATTCTATATCGAATTGCTCCACACAAGCTTGTCTTCGTCGTCCAAATTCTGAAAAAAAATCGCGCTCCCGTGCGGAGCATCCTGAGAATTATGATGAAATGATGCGCCCGTGTGGAGCAACCTGCAATGCTCGAGAAAAATTGCGCTCCAAATCGCGCCCCCATGCGTGGCATCCTGAAGATTATGAAGAAAATGGCGCTCCCTTGCGGGCCATCTCGAAATTTCATCGTTCTTTGGCTCAAGATCGCGCTCCTGTGCAGCGCGTCGTCAAATTTTCATCGCTCGTTCGTTCAAAGTCGCGTTTCCTGTGCGGAGCGTCCTGAAGATTTTGATGTATTTTGATGCAAATTGGGCTCGGGTCGCCTTGGATTAGGGCTTCCTGCCATGCCTTGCACTGGGACCGCAGAATGGCAAAAAAAAAATGCGCCAGAATAAAATCGCGTGCTCTTGTGCGGAGCATCCGGAAGATTCTGAAAAAAAATCGAGCTCCCGCGCGGAGCATTTTGAAAATTTGGAAAGGAATCGCGGTCCCGTGCGGGGCATCCTGAAAATAGTCGATTTTTCATTACCTACCTGAAAAACATCTAAGCACAGCCATCCTATCTTCATCGGTTCTGTGGACGTCCGGCGGGTCGCGCGCTGACTTGTTTCCCGTTGTTGTTTTTTTTCTTCGGACCTTTTTCCGAACAGCTGTTGACGCCATGTGCCCTGGATTATCGGCTGCCACTGCTACCTTACACGCCTCTCAAAAGGAGTCGGCTAGGCCCTGCAGGAGATGTGAGGTCGAGCAACCTTTCCAGCGGCGGCTTCGGGTGCGGTGGCGCTGGCCACGCGCAGCTGACGGCCGTGCTTGCAACCGCTTATTGCACCGCGACAGCCAACATATACGCCACCAATGCCTTGACCTCCTGACAAGCGGGCGGGGCCCGGAGTGCTGCTGGAAGCATGCCGCCTCGCCACTCCAGCGCGCCGACTTAGGATCCCAGCACGGGGAGACGTTGGGGGTCCAGCTCGGCACAGGGTAGGTGGCGTGTTTGTGGCGTTCGGGCGTGCGGAGCGCTGACCCGTCCGTCTCTGCGGCTCCGGGCTGTGGCTGGCCTGCGCGGGTGAATGCGGAAACCAATGTTGGCTTGGAATCTGGCAGGTCTTGGCCCGCCTTGCTCAGTGTTTCTGCGATTTGCTTAGTGCAAGGCAGCCTCCGCCCTGCCTTTGAACAGTCTCGTGCGCTTCCTCGACGATTACTGCGTGCTCACGACCTGCGACCAGGCGCAAGCGTGCAATGACACCGTGATCGAAGCTGTCGAACGGCATCGCGGCCTTCAAATCCAAGTCTGCCCACGACCCAAGTCCAAGGCTCCCAGAACTGGCACCTAACCTCGCCTGGAGAGCGGTTGGCGACTGGAGGCGATGCTCCGCGAGGAATGGCTATCGAGGTTGCCTGTGGCGCTTTCAACTTGTCGGGCGCGTGAAATTGATTTTGCTACGGCAGTAAACACCACGCAGACTCCGGGCGCACCCCCGCTTCGGACAACATGCCGGCCCAGAACAATGGAAGCGCATACCAAACTGCCAAGCATCAAGACCAGTGCGCATGTTCCCTCGAAAGCACCCAAAGGGCCCGGGCAGCGGATGCACAGGGCAAATGGGAGAAAAAGACCGGCGAGTAAAAAATCCAGTCGAGCGTGGCCTTCCATGGTGGCCCAATGCACATGTACAGATCAAATTCCGGCATTTTTCACCGGATCTGAAAACGCCCGATTCTTGCCTGCCACGGTCTGTGCAATTGTAGTACTGTGCTACATGTGCGGTACGTGCTCGCAAAAAGAAAAAGAACCGCTTGTTGACATCCCTGAGCTGTCGATTGCCAACATCTGCCACCCCGGGGCGTCGACAAGCCCTTCAGCGCCAAGTTCAAGCTTGGGGCCAGGCACAACTTTCTGAGGCTTTGAGGGTAGCAAGGAAGGCTACGGCTACAGCCCCCGAGTCATTTTTACGCAATATCAAGTAGACTGCCCTGCTGAGAGCTAGGAGTGGCCGGAAGGCTTTTAGAAAATCGGTCGCGCTCAGCAACAAAAGCAGAGTCGAGCATCTCGCACGCTACGTGTCCATTCTGGACCATCCTGCACTTGCCTGACGAGCCCTGCATCTGATGGCAGGAGCAGCCCGATGCTTTCCAACCACAACATTTTGGAATTTCGTCCCTGCTGCCTTGCGCACGACTCCATCTGCATCGCCAGGTTGGAGAGACGGGACGCCTGGTCCCTTGGCCAGAAGGCCATCCTCCTCTGTGCCCTGGATTAAATGCGCCTCCAAGGCAGTCAAGCGCACCAGAATTGGAGACAAGCGCCTGTCCAGGGCATCCTCAGTCAAGCTCATAAGATGTGAAGCATTGGACACATCAAAGCGGCTGTTGAAACATTCAATGCCCAGACAAGAACCTTTTGATCTTCAGCTGTCATGGTGATGCTGCTTGCAGATCGCAAGTAAGCAACGACATTTTGCAAGCAGCAGTCACTCTGATATTCAGCTGCGCTTGGTACACATACTGTTTTGCCTGCTTACTGTGTATCGGGCATCAAGAACATCACTAAACGCTGCTTCAATGGGGAGTGTTTCACACCTGCTTTGTCGCAGTGTTTTGCCAATTGGGGGTAACCTCCGTCTTCCACTCTGAAGTGCTGATTCGATGCCTGGAAAGTCCCCTGCACCATGCCAAAATCATACCACACATGCCGCTGGAGAAATATTGGATGCTAGAGTCTGCTGGAGATTGTGACCTTCCTTCACAAGCACACTCCCAGCTCATAACCTTCTTTCTGCCATGTTGCAAATAGTTCCTTGCGCAGCTCGTGCTCCAGATGGAGAAGCTCCGAATCCACTTTGGGAACCGGCATAGGTAAAGCCCCTCCCTGACCTTACAATGGCTCCTAGTCACATCTAGTCGAGCAGGTTCGCAACATTTCGTTTTTTGGGTCGCACTGATGTCCCTCTGACCCAGTTACAGTACCGCTTGGGGATGCTCTGGCTGGATCTCAAGCAATGCCGATGCATCATGATACCTGGTGCAAAGCAGCATATTCCTATGAGCTGCCTACAGCGGCCTGAGCAGACGGAGAACACGAGGCTGCTTGACTGCCGTGCGGTATGCGTGTGGGTATCTGGCCGGTGTAGCTCAAGTTTATTTGTTTCACGCTTGCGCGTCTCAAGATACAAACGGATCATGCGTCTCTTGTGTCGCATCTATCCTCTCAAATGAGACCTACTCACTACAAGGACTTCCCATGGATCTCTGACGGGTGGCTTCTGGGAAGGTCTTGCAGAGTGTCTTCCTGCTATGAAGTGGGAAGTCCTGTCTAGTTGCATCGAATTCCTCATCCCGGCTACTGACACACAAGCTCATGCAAACACAGTGTCTGTCAGGCCTCAAAGTCAGGGCTCACAATTGCATGTCATGCAGATTGACGAACAGGCACACACTGGCTGAGCACAATACTCGCAGATTGAGATAGCATCAACATCGGCGTCTGTTCCTCAGTTTCAGATTGGCGTGGCTTGACGCGAGCAGAGCAGTAGGCCACTGGGGCAGGGACGACTCCCTGAAAGTGCTCCTTCAAACCAGCCGTGATCGCTTCCAAAGCCTTCCACCCCAGAAATGGAAGACAATGAAGAATGGATGAAACCTTGCTTGCCTGCTGCTGCTGGCCAACCTTGGTGGTCGCTCTGCAGCGGGTGTACTGGTACCAGGCTTTTATTAGCACCTGTTTGCACAAAGAGGCATGCTATTTTGCGCAGCGCGCGCAGTCGTGAAGCTCTTTGTAGTTGGCTGGTGCTGCTTGGCTCTCAAGGCCATCAGCTGAAAAGCCGAAGATATCTGCAGCTTCTCCCAAATCTCATCCTGCAACGGGACCTCTAGCAACCTCATGCTTTCATTTGGGGCGGGGTGAAGCTACATCCGGTGAGACATGCAGCCCATGGCCGCTTCCAGGGACGTGCCTACAAAGCATCCGCAAGCTTTGCGAATGTCCACAACAGGGCACCTTGAGGTGACTCATGCCAGCAAGAGGAGGAACTTGGACATGAGCAGGAGAGGTGCAAACCTCGCGTTAGGAAGAGGAACCATGCATGACCGACACTTTTCTCAAACGCAACGGCTCGCGCGTTGTACGTCATTTGTGTCTTTTGTATGCACGTATTCTTGGTCTCTAGTTGTTCAAAAGACCATCAGATTCCAGTGTTCTCAACCTGCCCACGGGTTGCACGACATGTAATTTTCTGGCTTGCCGAGATTGAGACAACTCGACGACTGTTGCATTGGCCCACGAGTTACGTGGTCTGGAGAAAGCTAGACCAACAAATTCATGTCAACAGCTAGCCTACGGTCTCTCACACCATGCTTCACGGTACTTGCTAAAATATGTATGCGTGTCAAGCCGAAGGTATTCCACTTCTAAGATCTGCTCACGCCAGACTTTCTACAGCTTCGAGTGCTTGAGTTTAGTGACGTCTATAATAGGTGACTACAGTGACTACAAAGGCAACAAAGACATGAAGATAGCAACTTGAAGAAGTGTGCTCATGACTCCTGGCAGTGGCCAGACATTACTGCAATGGTACTTGGTAGCAGCAGTTGCGGTGGGCCCGTCTCGGCGGCGTAGGTGACCATGCCCACAAACGCATGAGCAACAGCCCTCACAAAGACCCTGATGCTGTCAAGCAGATGTTTCTGCACTGTTGAATGCGAAGTGGCAAAGCAACACTGCTGTGCGTCTGCGCTCTCGGCACCGGGCCCAGCGAGAGTTGCCACGCTCCTTGGTACACCAACCTGCAAGCACGGCAGAGCTGGACTCCAGTGGCTCTGCTTGCATGCTCGGCTCTATGAGAACGGTTGTATACATCGCATGCAGACCAAGGGGGTTGGGGTCTAGCCCTGCATCTCACACATAGACCACGCACAGCGCCTCCTCTCCTTGAGGCGGTGGTGCCGGACCTGCCAGGCTTCAGCGCTTCAAATCTGGGCACGGGTACCATGAGATGGTTGCCACGGCAACAAGCAGCTCATCTCCACCTTGTCCGTTTTGTGGCTGTCCGTGCTGGTTCTGGCCCTGGCCCTCCTGGCCAGCTTGGCCTTGCGGACCTTGGTGGCCTTGCTGGCCGGGGGCCTGCAAACAAGCTGGGTAAGTATCTCTGACACCCATATGACCACATGAATGCCAGCCTGCGGCATGTCCTGCTGCTGCTCCGACTGCCAAGCAGCAGGCGCCAGGCACTGCCGCGAAACGAAGGAGAAGGCAAAACCTTGCAGCACTCGCTCTCCAACAAGGCTATGGCCCCACCAGCCACGATGACTATCCGGCCCGCTTAGGCCTTGATGGCAGCAGCAGTGTTTCTCGCCCGATGTAGGCACAGTGCACTTCTTAGCGTTCTTCGTTGAACAGCCGCCTCGGCCAAGTCTACATGCTCACAACTTGGAGCGCAGTGCCTCAAATGCTCTTGTATGCTCTGGTGAACTTGTTGAGGCAGCTGCCCATTAAACCAGGCTTGTCGATCTTGGGCGGAATGACATAGTTACCTCGCGTGTCAGGCATGCTGATAAACAATGATGGAATCATGGAGCTCACATTCATGTGTGACACCTTTCTCCCCAACATACTTGTTGATAACCTCCCAGGCTTTTGGTGGCGGTGCTTGTTCCTCAGCTGATCTGGGCAGAAGCGCTGTCCAACTCTTCCAGAACTTCAACAAACGCGGAATCCCACATCACTTTTGCTGAAGTCACACTTGACCTGACGGGTGTCGTAACTAACACATTCGCCGCATCTGTCATGGCCGATCTCATACTGGCACATACGGTGGCAGCAGTACTTCTTCGGGTGGTTGACACACCTCACCACAGGTAGGTGCAGACTATGACTCTAACTGCAAGCTTTCTCATGCAAGCATGGCATGCTGCAGCGATCAGTTGAAACCGCAGGGACAATCTGTCCCGAATCAAGATGCATGACGCCTAGGCAATGCCAAGGGGCTTTGATGCCTGACCTACTCGGTGCAAGAGGCCCCACTTGTCGCTCCCAGGCACGGGATCCTGCAATTGGCACGAATAACTGTAGACCGGGCTGGCAAGCTGATTTCACTGGCTCCTCAATGTTCTTGGGATCAGCAGTGTCTGCTTCACACTCCCGCTCAGGAAAACTGTAAATGAAGCCTTCCAAGGCAATGCTGTACTAATCTGTGAACTGGACTGCAGTCCCCTGCCTGCATTGCAGCAGCAGAGCTTCTGCTCTTCATCTTTGCAAGCGACGGCATTTTTGTGCGTGCATCCTCTGACGCCGTTGTGGTCGACTTGGTCCGGTATTCGGAAGATTTCTTAGATGCACGATGATGCAAGCATCCCGGACCACAGCGCGATGACACAAATGGCCGATCTTGTCAAACTGGAAAGAGTTGCGCATGCGGAACATGAAGCTAGTTCAAACATCAAAGCCAGTCTGCGCTCAGAGGCTAACTGGACTGGTAGACAAATGTCAAAGGTCAAACCTCTGTTCATGTACAGACAAGGTGCTTGTAGAGTTCTGGAAATCTGAGATGAGGCCCGCAACGCTCATGACCGTAGCCTCGGTGTTGCCCCCGCATGAAACGGGCCAAAAGACCATGTAGGCTTCTCGGGGCCAGAAACAAGAATGGCTCTCTTCTAATCAGTTTGGGTGCGTTGTGGCCTTTGGTGGGATCACAGCGGTCCTGGCACAGTCTGAACCCCATTTTGAAACATGTCCACGCGCATGCCAACAGAATCAACCCTCAACAACTTCCAAATCAGCATGTATGAGGGCTCCTGGAAAAAATGGAAAGCAGCGTAACAGCATGAAGCTCGAGCCTAGCCAACCCCTAGACCAGATCGCCCACCTGCTCTACGTTGAATTGAGAGCCGCGGTCACAGCACCACTGCTTGTTGTCGGAGCCACACTTGTGGGCATTCCCCTTGGTGTGGGTGAAGCCCCACCTGAGTCACAAAGCAACAGAGCTGAACCTGGTACAGCGCATCACAGCATCAAACTCATGATGCATAGAAAGCCTCTGTGTTCAGCTCAGGCGCTTTCCTGAGCCTGGGATAGGCTCTGGCTGGAAGTTTTCGGCAGCATGGCTGCCTGTGGCTGGGGGTGCTGCAGCTGCAGGCCCTCCCTCTTGTCCAGATGCTTCTCCCTTTTCCTCCTCCTTCTCCCCTTTCTCCTGCTTTGTGGTGGCTTCCTCACTTTCTTTTCCGGACGCAGGTGTCTCCGATGCCGACTCGTCTTTCTGTTCTGTCTGCTTGGCACCGTCAGCCTTAGCTCAAAAAGGGCGCAGGGTTTGCAGCGCACAGTGTCTTCCACGCATCCCAGAGGCGTGGGGATCCTGGTACAAGGGCTGAAGAATCTCCCTGCTCTCAGGACCTGAGCCAATCAGCCCGCCTTCCCGGGCTTCTGTCAAACCCCCTTTGCTGCTTGTTGAGGTCTCTTGGGCCTTGCTGTCTCTTTGTCTGTCCTCATCATCTGCCTCTTCTCTGACTGAGGGCTTAAACATGTATGACTCACAAATCCAGCAACCAGAAACTGAGCTCGCTGCGCGCTGCAAGCACGAGGCATGGGGCAAAGATCCAAATCCTTCACTAAACAGTGCCCAGCACCCTGCTAAGGTCAAGTGACTTTGCTGACAGGTTGCCAGCATAGGTTGCGCTGACAAGACCTCATTAACTCCTTGGATTTGATAGAGCAGTCACGGCTAAGCCCGGGAAGCAATAATGCGACTGGACAGACAAAGATTTACCTGCTGCAGGTAAGTCTCACACGGAACATGGAGTTGGCAGGACAACCCGGCATTGGCTGTGGCCAAATACTGCAGGTATGTATGACCCGTGGTGCAATCCAAAACATGCCAAAGTCTTGGGCGGAGTGCTGGCTCAGTTTACAGATCGATACTTCAAACACCTCTTTGCAAGTGGGGTTGAGCCACGCGCGGTGCATTGAAGCTTGCCCGCTGCCAAGGCCTGCTGACCAGGGCACAATGTGGGTTGTACAATCTCAAAAACCCGCGAGCCTGACACTGCGAGTCAACATGGCTTGCTAACACTGCATCGCCTTTGCGAAGGCCCAGGTAAAAGTGCCCTGAACTGTCCTGGCAAAGACAAGGCATGGCAAAGGCAGGTGCTCGAAGCCAGGTGCGCAATTGCCGCTGCACTTCATGGGGCTAGATGGGCCACAAACATGATAGGCACACCCCTCAAGAGGAAGTTCTGCATCCCATTCTGGCAGCCTGACACTTCACAGCGTGGCATCACACACATCAAAAAAATGCACGAATGATTCCTCCGCACCTGCAAGCACTGAAGACGTGCAGACGGCACGCCGGGAATGTCTGCGGGCGCCAAACCTGCGGGAGCCTGTGCATGGAACTTGCGTTTTGAGAACACTCAGCGCCTCTTAGCATGTCTTAGCTTGGTGCGTATGCTGAATAGGCAGCGGCGGCAGCTCCAAGAACCTGGCCCCACGTCCACGACACAGGTCTCAGCTTGCATCTTCATTTTCCTCTGACTCCCTTTCCCATCCTTTTCCGGCCATGGAGGCCTTGGGCGGCTGACGTAGTCGAACAACTTCTCATAATCCACACCTCGCCCCCGACATTTGAGGGATACAGGATTCGGACACGGGATGAAAAAGCACAGAGGCGCTTCATGAGTTGCCGGCGGCCACGAGTGACCCTGGGGAATGTTGGCGAGTGGTTGCAGGCTGGGCTTACACCTCAGCTCCGGAACCAGCATCTAACTTCTGAAGGTTGCGAGCAAAGAAGGCATGAGCTGATCTGTGATCACGGCCCGGAATGACGGGGTACGAACAGTCCAGCATGGTCGTCAGTGCTGGCACATTCGGAGGCTAGGTTGTGTACACATTGATGCACACAGCTGGCGCACTGGCTCCCGCAGGAATCTGGGTTATGAAGCGGTTCAGCCTCAAATGGCACCCTATCACGCCCAAAAAAACTCAGTTCTGAAGCCCGGCATCTCTACAAAAATTGAAAGCCTGAGGCACTAGCTCGAGCATGGAGATGAGCCGGTAAGCTGCTCCTGCCGGCGGTCCAAGAACCTGCGCCAGGAGGCGGCTAAAACCTTTAAACCTGTTACTGTCTTTCGAAAGAGGGAACGGCACAGACTGAAACATACCTCATTTCCCTGAAAAGCGCCTGGTGTCCATTTGACGGTCTTTCTATGCGACCATGCGACGACCTGAGAAGCACCACATGTGGGGGTTTTCTCTCCTTTACAAAGCGGCCCGAATCCTGGATATTTAGCTTTTGCTTAGCAGAGGAGCGCGGCGGATGGTCCCCTTGCCTGGCCACGGCTCAGCGGCTCAGCCTTCCTTCTATCAGACTCTCCTACTTCCACAGCTGCAACCCCTGCCTGTGACCACCATTCATTTGGCAGGTCAGCAGCGTAGTCAGAAGGCACCAGGAACGCCTCACAGTCTTTGCCCTCGGCATCCTGCGAGCAGCAAACAGCAGAGGCAGCAGAAAAACTTCATTCACGTCGCATGTTGTGGTCCTTGGGATGTTGAGTGCCATACCCACAGAAAGCCAAAACTAAGCCTGTTGAAGAAGTCAAAGAGCAGTCTGGAAAAAACGTGATTTCTGGGTGGCCAGCTGTCTCCAGGCTGTGCCCCATCCATCAACCTCACGTGCTTCAGGGACGATGATTTCCAACACTTCCTGTCAGCTGGTCTCTTCGCGCTCCACCTCTCTGAAAGCGCCAAGAAGTCTCTAAACAGCCATGGCCAGCAGGCTCAGGGAACTTTGCTGCTGCAAACTTGGCTGCTTTGCACCCTCCTTTGAGGGGCACAGCAAGCTGTAGGACTGTAGGATTGAAATTCGGCCGGGAGGTCCAGCTCTTCTCTGCAGAGAGGGCTGGTACTAGAGACTATGGTACAGCGACATACAGCCTGTCAAGTCACGACCGCATGAAGATCCGCGTAATCGCTGTGAGGCCTTCCGAGCAGGCAAATGGCAAAAGCACTGCAGCTTGCATTCAGCATATTTCGTTCATACACGTATTACACGTGCAAGGAGGTGTCGGCCCGCCTTCACTGTACTGGGAATGTTTCAACGAAGAAGAGCCAACAGGCATCCCAAGCCCTGGAATCAAGGTGACCAGGGCATCTGGCTCGCCTTGGGTTCTCTTCGGCTTCGGTGAACCCCAAATGCCACAACATCCGACTCCCACTAGCACAACGCTGCAATCATTACCACTTCACTCCCTTCCCCAAAAAAAACATTCACTTCTCGTGGTAAGGAAACGTTCGAACTTCTTGCAAAGGGAATGAGATGCTGCTGCCAAAGTACCTGCATGAGCTGCATCTTCCCGCTCCAAGTCCTGCAGTAAGGCATGCAGCCTACACTGACCCAAGGATACCCATGATTTCAATGATTTCTCGCCCGCCACTCATCCCAGAGACCGCATGACTGCCTCTATAGATACCGATAGAACCTTGGCTTCTCCATGCGTCCAGCTTACTGAACATTGTACTCTGAGGACAGTCTTGATGATCTTCAATCTGATCTCACAGCAAACAACATGACTCCCCCCTTTTCACGACCTCTATTGGTCCCTCTTCTTGGACATGTTGGCAACACAGCTCCTGGATTTTTCTTGCCAGCTCCTCATCTGAGAGGCCGGCGTCGGGGCTCGGCAGGCCTCCAACATGGAAAACTTACGGTGGTCTCTCAAAACGGGCGACCCACCCCAGGGACATAGGGCCTTGACTAGAAGGAGATGTAGGAGTCCCTCTTCAGGAATAAACAGCGGCTATTTGAGAAAACTTGCGCGATGTATCTGGGTGAGTATTCGTCTGTAGTTTTTGGGGGAAGGACAAATGGACTGTGAAAAAGCCCTCAGAACCCTGGCGCGTACAGCGGCCTAGCTGTTCGCACAGCAGGTTGTGCCGGTGGGACCGAAGGAATCGCCGCAAGCCTTCAGCTCCGAGATTGCCAGCCCCAAACCCCACTCCGTCGGCTGTATGTATCTGCGGGTCGGTGTAGAAGGTTCCAACACCCTGAATATCGCAAACCACGATTTGCTTCTCTGAGAGAACATATGTAAAATATGAGAAAGCTGCCGCGACTTCATCGTCCGTCTCTGTATGGCCAGCGTTGTCACTGTGCTTGACATAGTCGCCAGCCAAATACGGCTCCAAGCACAGCGGCTCTTCAAACTCATCCATCTTAACGACGGACACTGGCAGGAACGCAATACTGTAAGGCAATCCGGCTTGGGAACAGCATTTGTTAAATTCTTGTGCATAACACTCAGCCACCATCTGGGTCATTGCCTCGTGGTAATTCATCTCAGGGTCCAGCCCACAGTTGGGTTTTATCCTCTTGAGAACCGCATCCATTTCACAGCCATCTTCCAAGACTTCCCTTGCGCGGTAGACAACTCCTCAGAAGCACACTACAGCATGACTTGAAGCGAGTCCTTTAGCTCACTTACCTGGGGCAATTTGCAGCTCAGCCTCTCATGCCACCCTCACTGAACGGCACAGGGTTCAAGCGTATTCGCACAGGCTGTTCGTCCCACTGACCCTGCTCACAGTCATAGCTGAACTTCAGGGCCTCGTGCTCCTTGTAGACTTCCTCTTTTGCCGGCATGAAGCAGGCTACCGCTGCACTCAGCAGGAGCGCATAATGTTAGAAACTTCAGGCGAGCAGGAAATGCAGTCGGAGAGCAGCGCGCGAGCTCTTCTGAACTTGGAGAAGCTGACATGCATCATCATGCATCCGTAGGCTTGCACGCTGAAACCCAGAACCTGCGTAGACCTCCCTACGCATGCAGCCTGACCGAAATCGGCAAAGAGTCGGCAACTGCTGCATGCCCACAGCCACCATCTGAGGCCCCGTGCCACTGAAAGCCCGACAGAATGTTGTCCCGCGAAGGCACCTCCCCAGGAGCGGCTTTATTTCTGCAACCAACCTTACTCGACCTAGCCCCTTAACAGCGCGGACTGGCCATGATAAGAACTGAAAAGATCTCAAGGTTGCATGCATGTTTCACGTTTTTTGAATCGGGGATGACGGACAAACCCCTGCATGTGCGCCCCTAATTCATGCGGCTCGAAGTCGGCTTGTTTGACACAAGACTTTTCTTGGTGTTTAGGGGGTTCCCATACAAGCCTCCACCAGAAGGAGTAAATGACTGAAGATAAGTGGCAATGCCTCATCACTTCCATGATTCTCATCAGAAGGAATCACACCTTGTGTAAGCACTTAATGAAACAAGCAGATAGCAGCCAGCACACGCTTTCTTCTATAGGCAACGCATGCCCCCTGAGGACCTGCCGGGACATACCGGGATTACACCCTGTGGCCCTTGAGCTTTCCAGGGTCTGAGTTGGTGCCCACTGAGTGCAAACCTGGGCCCTCAAGCATCCTCAAGCCAAGCTGCCTCCATGGCTCCAGCTAGGACCGCCAGTGGTTACTAGGGACCACTAGCGACAACATTCTGCCTTCGTCCAGCTGGCTCCCTTTGCAATACTATATACACGGAACTCCCGCACAAGAATTATCACTTGATGTGGTCCTCTGCTCGCTGAATTACCCACATTGTTGGATCGAGGGTCTCAGTCTCTCTCTCATCTTCTTCTTGTTCTTCCATGCACTATGCAAGACACGGAAGGCCCGGCAGAACCGGAACCGCCAGCCAGTCTGGCCCAACACTGATCCACCATTTTTGTGGGAGCTCAAGTGGGAAGATAACCGTAATTTCATGTTTAACCTACTCCCAGCATGCTGCTTCTGTGTTAAGCTTCCTCCCTGCCCCACCCAGCTTTGAAACTGCTACAAGTAGCTGAGCCCACTTTCCACCAACAACAACACAGGCGGCACTACCACTTGCTCTCCTCAACACATCCCTCCCAGGCCTTAAACTTCTCACGATTGTTGCAGTGGACCGCTTTTGCAAAAGAAACTTGGCATGGCTTGTGTTTCCTGGCTGGCACTGCATGCAAGCGCTCCTTATCTTTTACCCTTGCTCTTCTACTGAGAGCTCGGGTGAACTCTCTCTCTTCTTCTTCTACCTCCTCTACATTGCGAAATGGAACATGAACCCTCACTCTCTTTCTCTCTGCCCTTCAAGGCCTAAGCTGTGGGATGGGCACCAGAAAGGAAACGCATGGAAACGCATGAGCGTGACCATGCCTGGCCTGTGAGAGCTTGCTCGGTTCTCCATCACTGTCAACAAGCAGTCGAAGCTGATCCTCCTCAAACAATAGCGACTGCCTGGCGGTGGGAGCTTGAGCGGCATCATGAGGCAGCGGGAGCTATGTTCGTCAATTCAAAGCATCACTCACGCCTGAGGACTGACTGAAGGTTCCAAGCGTCATTCACGGCGCCCTTCAGCTGCGCATGGGAGCCTCACTGCATCACAAGATAGATGAAAGGCTCCGTATTCCCTTTTCGCCTGTGTCACCAAGCCTGTGTAGTTGATGCCAATGATCAAGGCCTGATGCAGGACATCTACGCTTGACTTTGCCAAGAATCTCTGCAGGACTCCGAATCGAAATGCCTTTCTGCGTGGATTGCAGGACAGAGGGTTCTTCATGATCTCGGGCCACCTAGGTCAACACAGCATGCTTGATATCTTACACAATGAAGAACCGCTGATCTGGGAGCGGTACAATGTGCTCACCTCACTTCTGCCATGCTCCTGGAGCCGAATGAAATGAGGGGCGGGGCATGGTCTGGATCCGCCCAAGTATGCCCAAGTCCACCATACATGATGGGAGCTCTTTTTTCCAGGCTACATGGACAGCTCATGTCCCCAGAACAAGTCATCAAGGTCAACGTCTTCGTCGCTGAGAGCCTGCGGCATCAGAAAGAAACAAAGCCTTCCCTTGGGCCCTAAATCTAATGCTTCATCCAAAGCCCATGTGCCTTGTCTCCGGGTTCCTCCACCGAGCGCACTGCTCGAGCTTGATGGGCCTGCCATGAACCGGGAAGACGACTCCAAGATGCACACGCTTGCCACACGCTTGCCACTCTCATCTGTGTTAAAGGGGCCTTTGAGCGTTTTGCGAGCAGCTCTGGAGTTCGTTGCCACAGCTCTGCTTGGTGCCTAACAAACACTCGGTGCCAAACACCTACCCCAGGACACAAGAGGCCTGCCTGTAGGAGAGCTCCTCCTCTACGGTCCCGAGCGTCACGAAACGCCAAAGATAAACAGGCTTTGTCTGCCCTACGCGGAGGCAGCGGCCCAAGGCCTGCGTCTCGTAGGCCACAGCCAATCGTTGCGAGGATGCGAACATGGGGTGAACAAACAGCACGTGGTTCCTCAGCTTGGCTGTAGCTTCTTCAACTAGCCTTTCATCAAAATATTTTGCTGGCCAGATTTCTTGTATAACGCCTTATGGCCGGCTCAAATATGTCGTTACTATAATGCGGAGACTCGCTCTGGTGAGGTTGGTTCCAGAGGCCGCATCTTGCAAGGAGAGCAGCAGCACCTTCGGGCCCTCTGTGGAGTCAAGTGGAGCTCCCTGGAAGCTGGTGACCACGTCATCTCGTTCCCAGAAGCTGTTCACCACTGGGTTGTTGGAGGCATCGAACCGCTCCTGCAAGCCCAGCTTGCAAAAAAGAAGGCAGGCCACGCCTTGCTTCGCATGTCCGGCTGGCCTCCAGGCAAACGTAGGACACCTTGAACTCCGCAAAGGCAGCTGCCAGCTTCCGCCGAAGACTGGCCCACTGCACGAACACAATGGCGCGAGCAGTGGGATCCTTTCAGCTCGAAGAGGCTTGGCCCCAGCAGTGCAGTTCCCCCAGCCTCGCGAGCGATGTCCCGGAGCTTTCGGACGACATGGAACAGCTTAGACCCGAATCTCCCCCATCGCTGTCGCTCCTCAAAGCTGCTATGCTCTTCGCACAACGAGCGCAACCAATGCCAGCCTCTCCTCACGCTCACCCGGCTGCACCGCACCGGGTTCCCGTACGCGAAGCACCTCGTCCAAGCCCGGCTCTCGTCGGAGGGACTGGCGACAAAGTGCACACTCGCCCCTCCTGACAGCTTCCACATTGCATCAGCTTGTAGCTCATGTTTGCATACGACCCAACAGTTCCTACAAGTTCTACAGTATGCGTTACACACATCAAAAACGAAACGCTGTTTTGCGGCTTTCCTTTGGCACTGGCCTGGCAGCTCTTTGCCGCCAGCAGATCCTACGGGAAAATTGTGGATTGGCATAGCCTCTTTGGGGCATATGCGAAACAGGCGAGATATCAGACTGTGCCGAGCTGGTCCTGCACACGAGTGTACCTGACATTCCCCAATGTTCAAAGCAAGTGGCGCATGAGGAGCAACCAGTGGAGCAAACTGCCAAGTCAAGATGCTTCAGGCTGTAGTCCGCAATGCTCACCGCACGGTTGCCAGCCTTGAAGAAAAGCTGATCATTGGGATTCCTCAGCACTTGCACTACGAATTGCATCCAGGAAATCTGTGAGATGCACCGAGAGGCAAGAAGCCAAGAAGTCGAAGGCGTCCGCAAACGCCCGTGTCAGACTTCTTGAGCGCAGTCACCTTGCGGAGCGTAGATGCCAACCAGAGTACATCACCCAAGACAGGAGCATCTAAAGAGTTGAATTGGCAAATCCAAGAGCCGAGAAGCCACTTCTTCATCCACTGTGAGTGGGTTGTAACCAGCTCCAGGCGCGGCAAAGAGGGTGCGTGTGCTGGCAACGCCTGTTGCAAGAATAGACGAGAAGAACAAACTAACAATCGCATGAATGCCATCAACCGCCACAGCAAAACACAAAATCGGAGGAATTCAAATTGGTGGAGCTGCATTTGAGGTTGAGTACGAGCACAAATTGTTCTGATCTTTGATTTGATAGGAGCCCTGCTAGTGTTCAGGAAGACAAAAGCTCTGAAGAACCCAAAGCAACCCAGTGGCCTCGCCAAATATCACCCTCTGGAGAAGTCTCTGTCTCGAAGGCAGTGATAAAAACCTTCTGCACAGCTCCTTTGAAGTCGACCAGCACGTTGCGGAGGGGATCCGACTCACCGTTACCAGCTCGCAGGGCAAGCTCGCCTTGGAATCAAATGCAAACCGCGACTTTGCGCCAACCGGAGATGCTGTTATGTGCTGTCAATGCTCTCTTAAGAAAAGTGGCGAGTGTTGTCCTGCACCTCCACGTACTCGACGCTCTTCACCACTTCCCGACCAGCAAAGGCATTCAATTTAGCCTCTTCTCAAGTTCTTGCGACTTGGGCAAGATTTCTAACTGCATCTGGGCAGCCCGAGTGTTGTAGGCACGATCTTCGACCACATTGTTCCTGTAAATATAGACGTCTTCACGTCGTACAGGGACTGTGTAAACTGACAAGCATGTTCAGGGGACATGCCGTGTCCTCTGAGTTCGAACATACCTTGCAGGAAGGTAGGAAGATGCTACGTGCTGCTCAGATTTGTGGAGCCTGGCCTCAGCTCGAAGTCCACTGACTTTCCAAGCTGGTTCTGCTGCTCTGCGAGGACCTTATTCGCCACTGCCTGAGCCAGGGAAGCTCGCACGGCATCAACAATCTCAACCGTACAACAAGGTCTGTTACACCAGCTCTGTCTGACAGGGCACGCTTTGGCCGTTGGCCAGAAACTGCTTGCCCAATGGAGCGGCATAGCCTTCCAGTGTCTGTTCCACACGCCAGCATGACGTCTGAAGTGACTCAAAGCTTTTCTTTTCCGGCGGAACTCACGGATCATCTGGATGCACTCAACATTTTGTCGGGAAGCCGGTTCGCTGCATGTAGCAGCTCCCATTCGAGTCCGAGGGGCCTTTGAGCTGCAGCCAAGGCACGGCCTTCCATCCACTCTGGATAATATAAATCATCAGGGCCCCAACCTGGAATTCTTGCGGCCAACCAGTGCTGAAGGAAGTCAAGGCAACTATCCAAGCCTGGAATGTAGCCACTGGGAAGCTTCTCGACCTGAGCTGCACACTGTCTCATGGCTGTGTCTTAGTGATGGTCATCTGATCTGCACGCACTTGTAACTTTTGGTGGGTGTAACAATTAGCAGCCTTGTTCTGAGGCATCGGCGTCTGTACCATTGAAGCGCTGCTGTAGCGCAGTCTTCTCTGCAAAGGCCGGCAGCGTCCTCGACTTTGAGTCGACACACGCCCCTGTAGCTTCAAAGACTGTGCAGCTAAGCAGCCAGGCATTTGCAAGGCCCAAAGATCCAACATAAAGGACGTCTCGCCGACGTCCTGCATCCTGGTGCTCTTCTTTGACTTGCTCACCGCTGCGCAAACAAGAAATGTTCGTTTGATAAGAGTCCCACCCGAGAAGTCTGCACGGGCACGGTCCAGGCATGCCTTCAAAGACACGGAAATCATCATTTTGTGTCCTCTGAACTTCTTTCTTTTAGAGCTCTGCTCAGCTCTGCGACTGTGGTGCGACCACAGCTCAGGGGCTGCGCAGAGGCCACAAAGCGCGCCAAGGCCACGCCTCCGATCTCATGAGGAGTTGTGCGTCGAAAGACCGGAAGCTCGGCTTACTGTTGCATCGCCTGTGCATCCTGTGCCAGCGCGGCTTACTGTCTCCGGGCCGGAGCGCAGCCATTGCCCGTGCCAGCAAGGTGCTAGGAAGCAGGCACAATACAAGGGCTGTCTCTTGTCAAACCTGCATGCAACGACACACCATCCTCAGCTAGCTTCAAGACAGCTTTTTCAGACCTGAATATGGCTTCTGTAGCTGTTCTGTACCAGCAGCTGTAGCTACAATAGGAATCAGTCAGGCGACGGCTGCAGAAAAAATTCAACCATATCGGCACGAGCTTGACGCATGGACTGGTGGTTCTGTTCATGTTACGAGCAGATTCAGTCCTGACCAAAGTGCCAGCGCAATGTAGACAGAAGAGATGTGCGCACGCAGCCAGGATGGCACCTCACTGAAATGATCCGCGCTAGGAATGCTGCTGCTAGTTGAATGTCAAGTGTTTGTGTGTGTGTGCGGGAACATGAAGCCTCTGGATGAATCTGGAAAGCAATGTTAATGCTAGCTGCGACTGCGATCACCTTCAAGCAAAGCATCGCTACCAACAGGAGCAGCCGTCACGCAATGTAACGACCACGACAATATGGTTACCACTGTGCGACAGCCGTTCCATGCAACATCGCAAATCGATGCAAATCGCTCATGCGCTCATGAGACATCCTGAGGCATCCTGAAGCATCCTGAGGCCCTGGCGCTCTGTAGCCGGTGCCTCGCTGAAGCAGACCTCGGCTCACCCCCGCTCGCAGAATCCAGAACCCGACGGCGCACCATGCTGTCACGCGTGTTCTGTGGTCCCCGTTCTGAACGCTGACTCCCAACCCCTCCAATCGAATCCCAACGAGTTGGATAGCCCTCTGCTTTGAGAGCCGTGCTGGGCAGCAGAAGCGGCTGGCCTCACAGCCCAACTCATAGAATTTTACTCCTTTTTTGGTTCCTGAAAAGGCGCTAAGTGTCAGATGTAGTAGCGTATAGAGCTGAGTTTCGAAAAAGGGGTCAGAATTTTCACATGCAATCAATCTGGCTGCTTTTCAAAGGAATATAAGACTATGAATCTGGGGTGATGATCTTGCCTTGCTGAACAACAATCAGAACCATGATCAATTGTAAATACCCCTCATTTGCTTGTTTTTCACAAACCATGCCTCGGCCGCCTCCAGCATTGCCGCCAGAAAGGCATGCTCGTGGCTCCTCAGCAGGGATTCAAGAATGCTGCCAGGGCTGGATGTGTCCGAGCTACAAGTTTATGACCAGGATAATTTCAGAATCAGCAATGCAGGCGTCCTCTGGCGGAAGGCCTCCTTGGCCTGCTTCACCTCCTCAAGTAGCTCCACCAAAAGCTCCAAACCATCGCCGGCTGGGACGCCCTAGGCTATAGAGCAGCAATCGGCGGGCAAGCACCCCGGTATAAGGTAGGATCTATACCCTCATCATCTCTCACCAATACTCGTAGAGAACCCTATCTACCCTCAGCGAAACCAAGTCCGTACCCAATATCCGGACAGGTATCAGAGGCAAGCTCGACCTGCTCTGGGCTGCGTACTAAATCCGAATCTCGGACCTCTGTTATGGCCCTTAGGATCAGGTCATCAGCGTCTCTCTCATGCCGCCGGCGTGCTTGACTGGCACCTCGACGTGCAGCGCTGGCTCCTGCGATCTGTGAGGCCACAGCAGCTTCACTCGACTTCGACTGGCCGTCGACATCGGACACAGCATGAGCATGGCCAACCTCTGCAAGCAGTTGCGCGTACTGCTCAGCCACCAAAGTTGGTAAGCCATTGCCAGACCTGCGGGCCCTCAAGATCTCTGCCTCCATTTTCCGGGCCGAGACCAGCAGCCACTGGCGAGCGGTTTCCACCGCATCTGCCCTCGTTCTCAACAAGGATGCGCTCTCAGTCTCAGCATCTGCATCCACATCAGCCTCCTCCAGCCGAAAGTGGGAGCACAGCTGTAATAGTTCAGAGCATACTGGTTCCTCCACCTGGCCCATTTGCTTCAGTTGCTTGTGCTTACGCTTTGCATCAGCAACACCCTGAACGTAGATCGCACGTTCAGCTGGTGTGTGGTACAGAGACACCAACTCTTCGTGGACGTCAAGACCCGATAAGGCAGAAGACCCGTTGGCTCTCGCCACATAGTCCAGCGTTCTCTGTGCCATCTCCCTCGCATCCAGCTGACGGCGAAACGCCTGAAGGTCGATCTTGAAGGCCTACCCAGGGCTCAAAAATCAAGACATCATCAGCTGGGCTCTCAACAACTTGCCAGACTGTGCACCGCGATGAACCAAAGCCCACCATCTGTTGTCTGGCATGCTGTGAGCGCGGCCAACTTTTCCACAATTAAGTGGCTGTTAGGCTCTTATTGTATGCTTTCAGACCAGGCATGCTGGAACAAAGCATTCCCCCTCTATAGGCGAAGTGGAAGGGGGGTGGCCAAATTGTTCTAGCCTGATTGTTGTGCAAAGTTGCGTCGGGGGAAGGGGGCTCCTTTTTCTGGCAGCATGCATCACTCCCTATTGACTGAACAGCAAGCAGATGACGTCACAAGTTTGGGTAGGGGGTAGTTGAGGAGGATGAGAAACCCCAGGATGACTCACTCTTTTCCGCAGCCACAGGAAACCTGACTTCCCGAGACCTGTTTTTGTCACCCTTCCACTTCTGAAATTTAAAGAAAGGTTTGCAAGCGGAACCCTAGCACCTGCTAGTAGGAGATTGGTGGAGCTGCCATGTCCTGACATATTGTTCTGTTTGTGACCCCATGTAGGGGGGCATGTGGATACTCTCATCATAAACGGGTCGCTAACTCTTATTAGGGGGTGAGGGTGGGGCTGATTCAAAAAAGATGCGTAAAGGCATGCCGACCAGCATCTCCCTGGACAGAGTTTGTGATTGACTGACAGAGACAAGACCTCATGTTAGCCCCAGACAATGCCCAGCCTGCGCTATCCGAGCTACAGATGCGAAGTCACTGAGCGGCGGAGTGCCCGTGAGACCCCACAGCGCGGTCTTGTCTGCGCCACCCTCTGTCCACAGTTCCTGCAGGGCTGCCAGCCAGGCTGCCTTGGAAGAGTCCAAGATTTCGTGGAACTCGTCCACAACGATGCGGTCCAGTCCATCCAAGCTTATTCTGCCTAGGCTCAGGCAAAACAAATTGGATACATCGTGCACGTCTACTAGCCTGCAAACTGCGACTCAGCTCGGCCACTCAGCACATGCGCCAGCTCCGCCAGATCCAAGTCCGAGGAAGCCTTCAGCCACCGCTGTCCGTGCTTGTAGCGTTCGTCCGCTTCAGGTCGCATTTGGCCGGTGCCTGGACTCGCGGCCGCTTTCTGGTCGCGGGTGCCAGGATCTCAACAGGAGCTAGAAGTAGCTGAGGGATGCGTCCTGCACATGCAGAGTGGGATTTTGATGCCGACGGCAGGCTTCTCCTGCCTCGCTTCGGAATCTCTGTTGTCACGCCCAAAACTAGTTCCACTGCGCCAGAGCAAAGGAACTTTCGGACCTGGCAGCTTTGAGGCATCAGTTGCTCAGCTGCTCAGCTGCTCAGATGCTTAGCTCAAGTGCTCAACCTCCTGCTGCCACTGCTGCAGCAGCCGGCCCGGCACCAGCACCAGCGTGCGCTTGGCCTGGAGGCACTGAATGGCACTGCTAGCGCTTACTCGCTTGAACTTGCTCCCTGCCATCTCCTGCCTCTGCGCTGTGGCCATGCAGGCCTCCAATGGCCAGAATCAAGTCACTGTCATAAGCCTGACTCGCCCCTTGCACCTGCATCTGAAGCGATTAGCCCAAGTGTGACGGCAGTCTTCCCCTCAGCGCTTCTTGCCCGCTTCAGCTTGTTGACGGCAAAGCTCTCTCAAACAACTGCCTTCCTTGATCACAGCCATCAGCTTCTCTCATGTGCTCTTGGCATCAGGCGCTGCCAACATGGTCTGCAAGGACCCCTCCTGGCCAGTACTTCCGGACAAGCATCCACTTACCTTACTTGCCATCACATGGCCAGCCCAGCCTCGAACTTGAAAGGCTCGCTGCACTCTGGCAAGGGCACGAAAGCCCAAGGCCTGCGAAGCAGAGATTTTCAGGCGCTCTTCTTTGCCAGTCAGGGCCCTGGGGCCTCGCAAAGCAGCTGCTGTGCCGTGTGCGGCGGGTGCAGTGCTGGGAAGAACCTGACAAGAAAAAGCGGCCTGAAACTGCTTTTCTCAAAGGTAAATTCTGGCGAGCGGCTCCCTGCTCGCCCCGAGGAGCAGTGGCGCCCTTTCCGCCTCGCAGGCCTTTGGCAAGGAAAGAAAACAAAATGCATTCAACACGGGTTTGCACAACATCCTTGGCCTGCATCCAGGCTAAGGAGCGACGCTGATGGCCGCGGAGTGGTAGCAGCAAGCTCAAGGCCTCGAGATCCGCCTCACTGAAAGCGTTTCAAAGAAAGAAAAACCTTGGAACCTCCTGGAACCACCTGAGATCCTGCCAAGCTCGTGCCTCTGCATCGAGGCTGTTGGACAACAGTTGGAAGGCTTGCAAGCATGCCGGCGCCTGCGGAGCAGGTGCCGCCCAGGGTGCATCAAGCAGGGTGCCCGACTGGGAGTGTTTGTCACATCTGCCGCACCTGCTTCTGCTCACGCTCCAGCTCCGTGTACACATCAACATCGAAGCTCCAGGGACACTAGTCTAGACTATCAAATACCATACAGTACCTGCAACATCTGAAATTACTCCAGCAATGTAACTGCGCTTTGCCCCCACGCTCAAACGTCTTATGAGAATTGACAACGCCTGGCCAAAGGCAAACACACTTGCGGGCGATTCTCGGGGTAGGCCACTTGGCACATTTAGGACAACGAGTTGATGCAAAGCAACCGAAGCGTCATGCAATGTACCACGAAAGAAAAATCTTCCTTGCGGACTTCAATCCTCCCCGGACCTGCTGCCAGTGCCCCCGCCAAATCCGCCACTGACTCCTTATGAGACAAATCAAAGATGAGCTATAATCTGAACTTCTTGTATGCCCCTTAATAGCCCCTATAATCCCTACAATGCTGCCCTGTATAATACCCTGTATAACCCCCTTTAAGGAATTTAGACTATGGCTCATAGAGGCTAGGCGAAAGCCATCGCTGCGTCCTCCTATGCCTGTCAGAGCACGCGGTCGCCGAAAAGCTCGGCCCTCAATCCTCCCGGCATCGTATTACTCTGACTCGCTCTGCTGATCTCTCCCCCCCGCGAGTGGGCCTCTCCGGGTTGGGCACTGGCGAATTTGCACGCACCTGTCAAAATTCACCGCCGCACAAAACCCACGGTAACCTAATAACCTAACCTCACTGGCCTCCTTCTGTTCCAAGCGCCATGAGAAGCGCAGTTGCGGACCAAGCTTAAAGGGAGGATAGATGGCCTCAAGACTTTCGAGCTGGCACAGAAAAATTGCTCCCCAGCAGCTGCAGGGCGCCCACAAAGCGCGCTCGCTGTGCCAAACCCACTGGATCTGCCACAACCTGGTTAAAGCAAATTGCCGGACCTTCCATGAACTCGAGTGTATGATTTTTGCACTGCAACCGCGCAGCACGAAGTTCCAGGTCAAGCCTTCCACGTTTGCCCTGTCGTGGGTGCGAGGTAACATCAAGCCAGGCTCAAGCCAGGCTTCATCATTCTGAGGACCTCCAGCAGCTCGCTGCCTTTCACCGCGGCACAGACTCGCAGAGGAGCCTCGAGGGACGGCTCTTCCTGCAGCATGTCACCATGATGTCACCATGTTTGCGAACAGGAGCAGGATTTTCACAGGTCCTCTAAGTCGTCGCGTAGGGGAACCTTCACACTTCAATCTCTCTCCCTGACCCGGCATGGTGCATTGCACGTATTGCACTATCCTGCCTCGCGCCAATCTGACGGAATGGCTGGCTGGTCCTTCGACTCCACTTCCATGGCTGCCACATCCTCAAGCACTTGCCCTCTCGGTGTGCATCTAACCTCATAGGGTGCCGGCTGGATCTTGCAGATAGTCGGCCAAGGTTTTGTGTGCGTCTCCGCCTCAGCGCAAAGACCGCAAGTTTCCAGGGGGCAACATGGCGCACCTCTACCGAGGCCGCCACCGCAAACTCCACAAAGGGATCGTGTGCACACACCTTCGGACCACTGCAAACCATGCTTGCCCTGTGCTTATCTAGTACAGGAAGTAGTCCGGCAAGTCTTGCTTGCCTGTGGGCGGAGCTTCTGGCGGAGGAACCTAGACCAGTTGGGCAATCAAGGCCCAAGCAAAATGCTGCCCTAAGTTCCGCCTTCCAACCCTTCCTGTGTAGCCAACGTCCCTGGCAATGGGTTTGCTAATGTTTGCTACGTCTTTCCAAGAATGTGCGACATCGTGCAACGTTATGCAACTCTGTGACACCTGGGGTTCCGCAGGCGCGCGAAGGTGCAAAGCCACCTCTTTTGTGTGACCTGGGCATCCACAAAAAGGTGCATGTACATGTCAGCAAAGCAAGGAGTCGATCATGCTCTTCTTGAGTCTTTTGCTTTCACCAAACGCTCTGCTGCAGGGCTCGAAGATCGAGCAAGTGAAACATGAGGTCTGCCGGCTTCACGTCTTCATTTGCTCAATTAGATTTGGGCAGAGGTAGCCAGTAGAGGTGTGGCAGCCCCCGCCTGCGAATCAAAGCCAGGCGTCATGCCCCCAACCTGCGGAGGCGTGAGACCACCTTCCTCCATGCCATAGAGAGAGCCGTACATACCCTGTGCAGTAGCTCCGGGGTGTTCCAGGAAGGGTGTCACGTCACCGCCCACGAACCCAGGCGTCATGCCGACCACGTCTGCATTCAACGGCACAGGCGTTGAGCCCGCCAAGCCTGGCGTCGCGGCACCTGTGTCATCTTTGAGATTCAGGGGTCGGGCCCTCCAATGCTTAGGTGCAAACAACCTGGCTTGGTACTCTTATCACCTGGTAAGGATATATTTAGGAAAATGGATCCCAGCAAATCAGAACAGCTTAGCCCACTAGCTTGCCATTGGTACCCCACCTGGCTGGACAGGAACTGGCGTTTCGGTCTTGACTGGCAACGTCCCCTCTTTGTACTCAATGGGCAGCTTCTTGTTCTTTACCCAGGTCTTGAAATCAGGAACTAGCTCCTCTTTGACCTTTTTGACGGAGGAGCCAGCCGCAGGGGTGTCCTTGTTGTTTCGATTTACCCGGGCTTTGATTGCTGGACCAGCGGTCAGCTTCCCATTCCTCCTGCGCGGCGCGTGCCGCAGATCACAGGACAGATTACCTGTCAACACAGGTGCCTTTGGCATGTTGTAGCTCGCCCTGGCAGGCTGCACAAACTGCTGAGGCACAGGAGTTGCGAGACCAGGAGTAGAAAGGCCGGTGCTACGCGGAAAGATGCGTTGCGCCACTCGGTGTGCTGGCGTTCCAGGCAAGCCGGGGGTGCCCGGATTTGCTGGTGTGCCCGGATTTGCTGGGGTGCTTGGCAAGCCGGGCGATGGCGGCAAGCCCAGGCCTGGCGTGCCGGGCGCACCCATGCCCGGTGACTGCGGCATCATGCCTGGTGTGGCCGGCATGCCGGGTGTTCGCGGCATGCCAGATGTGCCCGGTGACTGCGGCATCGTGCCTGGTGTAGCCGGCATTCCGGGTGTAGCCGGCATTCCGGGTGTGGCCGGCATGCCGGGTGTTCGCGGCATGCCAGGTGATCCTGGAAGCCTCAGTGGCGGCGTGGCTGGGTGCCGGGGCGTCGCAGGCATAAATGCAGGCGTCACTGGCGAATGCAAGCCCGGAGTTGTGGGCGACTGCCATGCACCAGGTTTCACTGGAAGCGCGGTGCCTGGCAAAGACAGACACTTCCAAAAGCTCAAGTCATCGCAACTGTACCTACAAACCAGGTAACCAGACTCTACATAGTCTACACCCACTCATGGGCCCTGCCTTGGGTAGGCATAAAGGCAGCAGGCGCAAAGGCTGCCGCTGGTGTTCTTGGAGGAAAGGTTGTGGCTGGCGTCCTAGGAATATCTTCTGGTGGTGTCACACAGGTCATATTGGCATTGGGAATTGTCGATGGGGTGGTGGATGCCCTGGCTCCTGACTGTTGGTCTTTTCCTCGCCACCCGGAATCAGAACCCCATGAGCTGCCGGACTTGTCTTGCCAGCTCGTCTGCTTCCACTTGGACGAGCCATCTGAGCGTTGGGAGTTGTCTTCCCATTTCGGCTTCTTCCACTTGGACGAGTTATCCCAGTCGTTCCACTCCTCTTTCACCCGCTTCCGGCTTCTCCAGTCATTGCTATCTTGCTCCGCCTCGTGCCAATTGTCATTGTTTTGCCATGAATTCCAGTCGGCATCGGCCTCCTTCCCTTTCCAACTTTCCTTCCCCCAGTCCTGCCAGCCCATGGCTTGTTTTGCATTGGCACGCGAATTATGCCCAGAATTTACACGAGGTAGTCACTGAATGCATGGGGTTTGAGGCTCCGAAGGCTGTTTTAGATATAGTTTGGAGGCCACCGCCTGTGTTGCACACAACAACTTCGACACAGCTCGACAAGAAACTTGGCAGTGGCATGCATTTGCCCAGGCCCGCATAGCTGAGACATGCCATCACAGTTCACAGTGTGAGCTTGTGCCAACAGCCAACAGGTGCATAAACATTCGAAACAAGCAAGCACATTTCAAAAGCTCGAAGACTGAAACAAGCGCTAACACGAGCCCTTGAGATGCTGACAAACGGTCAGCTTCTGAGCTCCTGGGTCCGCCTGCTTAAACACGAGCGAAACCCTTCAAAGCTCCAGATTCTCTCTCATTACCTCTCATGCCCTCTCAACACAGAGGTGCTTTGGATTCTTTGAACTTTTCTGTAGTTTGTTTGCAGGCTGCCTGGGTCTGCATGGGCCATGGCGCGTAACCCCCCGGCCACTTGCGATCGGCAGGGTTAAAATGTCCGTGGCTTCTGCAGTCAGCTGATGTCGGCCATCGACAAAGCTTCTATGCGTAGAGTCAAGGCTGTTTGCAAGTGACACCACTGATAGCCTAGACTGCACATGCTGGGCACATATGGCACATCAGCGCTCCTGATGAGCCGAGGCTTTCCGTTTCAAAAAGCAGCTCTTGCAAACGAGGCCATCCGAAAAGCTAGCTCAAAATCGAGGCACGTGTCCTGCTGTTCCATGGCCTTCGACATCTGCACAAGCGGGGTCTGGTCCTCCAAGCTCCAGAAAGGAACAGAAAGGAACTGGGTACAGGCAAACACTTTCCAAATGCTTATCCACTGTCCAGCCATCTGCAACGCCGCTGGAGCTCGCCGATTTTTGCCTGAATTGCCAATCTCTTGACTTCAGAGGCAAGCGCTGACGACGAAAGCTCAGCTGGCCAGAGACCTGCTTTCCTTCATTGCATATGCTGAAGTTTCCCTGCCGCCTGCCCCCTAACTTGAAACATCGCCTCAAAAAAATCCCATCAGACGCCGCTCCTCACGGGGAACAGAAGCCTGGCTAAGCCAGCTTCGTGAACGATATCTTTCGTTTCCAGATATTTGACGACACCGTCATGATGCTTCGTCTTGGAGCTGCTGCTTCAGTCAGTTTCGAGAGCCCCTAGTATGAAACATGGGCGAAATTTGAAAGTGCAAAATCCGAATTAGGTTCAATCTGATGACTTCAACAACTTCCTGGCTTCTCGCTGCCCCAGCCTGCAGAGACACCTTCACTTGGGCCACGGGACCTTCGCAGTTCCCGGCCACCATGGCCTCTCAGACAGAAGCAGCGGACACTGTCCGAAGCCTTTCGGCTGAAAACGACTCCATGAGAAGTGTGCAACGTCAACTTATGATTGCCAAAAGGCTCAATGACTGATCAATTGCAGTCCAAAAGCCCAAGGAATGAAATTTGACTTGTACATTGCATTCCTGAGGCTATGCCTTGACCCAAGCCCAGGTGAAGGCCTCGGATCCAAGGAGCTGAGGGGGCTTCAGTTTTTTGCATCTCAAGGGCCCGGGCACCTTGAACGACGCCTTCGATGGGCAGCTCCGCACACCACTGAGCCTGAAAAATTGCAGAGACACATGAATCAAGCTTACAAGACTCCAGGGGCCTGGTGACACGCGGAGTAACATGTCAGCGAGCAGGAGATTGCAGGGACCTGCACCGGGTTCAATCCATCTGTGCTGAGCCTGTTGCTGCTGTTGTTGCCGTATGATGACACATCAGCAGCATCAGCATCGGGAACGTGCGGCTCGCTGCAAATGCACAGGCGGGATAAATCCCAGGGTAAAGAAATTGCACAACAAACGCATGACCATGCTCAGGCCTCGCCTCCATGGAGCGTGGTCCACTGAGGGGAATGCTCGGCAGGACCTCTCAAGCCCAGAATTGTTGGAAATCAACGCACGGGCTGCCTCAAAACTTGCCAGGATGTCCATGCGCCGTGCTCGGGCATCAGCAACCTGCAGGTCTGGGAATCAAGATGCCAAAGAACACATGCGAACAACCAAAGAGATCAGCTGGCAGTCCAACGCCTCTTCAACACCGGCAAAGGCTGTCGGTTGCATCTGTGCCTGTGCCGGATCAATCTATGCATTGCCTCCACGATTACATGAGCCGTGTTGGAACTTTTGGAAAATCAATCAATGAAACTCCAGTGCTCAAGTGGCTATCGGCGAACGGCTAACTGTCAGATTGAACGTGTTTAAGGGATCCTCACTGCTCCTGCTGGCCCACCCAGCACAACAACACCAAGCAGGTGCAAGAGCGAGCACCCCCCCCACCGCGTGTCCCAAAAGCCTGCGCTTAGGGTGAGGAGGCCAGCGAAAGGTAGGCGGCCCCCTTCTCGCTTCAGGCCCCCTCCCAAGCTATGTGAAACATCAAGGACGCCCCCAATGGTTTTTGGCTACGATGCGTGCGGCCCACAGCTCAAGCCAGGTAGGCCTACTTGATGCTAAACGGACTCAAAAGCAACAGGGGTCTCCATGATTATTTGAACAAGGGCCGTGCTGACACAGCTCTGATGCTATAACATGGCAGTGCAGCATGATTGCGCGCTGTGATGAGGTGACCGGGTCCCAAGTCCGAGGCTAGGGGAGGAGAACGAGTGGCAGGCAACTGAACCAGAACAACGAGTACGTACCATTACGTACCCTCGTCCTTTGAGGGCTCCAGTCCAATCCGGATTGGCCGGGCAAAGCAGCCTACAAGATCAGACAAGCACAACCGAATCGCTGAAGTTATTGCGGATCACAGCCACGTAAGCACAACGTCCCCAACTTCACAAAAAGTTGGACAGTACACGCTCAGGGGCAACTTGAGGGGCGAGCTGAGACCAACGAAAGCTAGCCAGGCTTTATGTAGCATGGAGTAGGGTAGAAAAGGAGGAGGGAAGGCACATGCCAGCAAAAAGCACAAACCTCGTCAGGGGGCTAGGAAAACCTATCGCAGAACCTCGCCAACTCGACTCCAGTGCCCACTTCTATTTGCCCTCCAATTTTCTTTCAAGCTTTCTCCTCCCCATTTTTCCCCATTCTCCCAGTCTTTGCTCCACGTTTCACTCCACTGTCCAGTCTAACTCTGACTGTACTCATCACTCACCACTCACTCTCCAGTCTATACTCCACCCTCC